TGCGTCCCCTTCACGGGGGGACCAGCTTTCCTCCGGCTCAGGCCCCGGCAGCTCCGCAGGCCCCTCCTCCCTGCCTGCACCCACAGATGCTTGGGCCACGTCCCCCGCAGGCCGGATTGGGGGCGTCCTGGCCGCTGTCAGGCCAGGGGTCGGGAGTGTCTGGTTGTCTGGTCTTGCTGTTCTGCGGGGCGTGTCTGTATCACTGGGGGTGACACTGCGCCAGCAGAGCGAGGGGTGACCTCACAGGCGTTAGCGAGGTCAGTTCCTGCTCCGGAGACCAGGGCCTGCCCCACTCAGTGCCGTGGGAGGAGACACTGACCCCAGCGTTCATGGGGAAGTGGCTCGTGGCTGCCCTCCCTCCCCTCACCCTCTTCTCTCTTCCCGCAGAGAGCGCCAGCGGCCCTGCCCCTCTGCACAGGTCCCAGTCGCTCCCGCACGCGGCCACCATGGCCCTGGGCAGCACGTCCGACCCCGGGACCCTCAGCAGCTCGGCGCTGAGTGAGAGAGAGGCCTCCCGGCTCGACAAGTTCAAGCAGCTCCTGGCTGGCCCCAACACGGACCTGGGTAAGTCTTGCTTCCGAGCGAGGCGGTTCTCGGAGGACCCGATCTGTCCGTGGCACCACTGCCCTTACTCCGTCACTCACCTCGTGTGCATGTGGTAGTTTGTGGGCTTCCAGTGCGATTCCATCGAGTACTTCCTGTTCTTTTTCCTTAAGCCCCAGGGGCCCTCCTGCCTCTGAGAGCTGCCGTGGTGAGCTCTGCCCGGCTGGGCAGATGGACCTGGCTGGTCACTGTGAGCCTGGGCGCGGCGCTGGCGACTGGCGTCATGACCACTGTAGTCTGCGCCTCCTGCTGGGCCTCCTGGTTGGGGCAGAGCGTGAAGGCGAGGGCCTTGCAGGGGGCAGTGCGGCCAGCAGGGGGGTGCAGGGGCGGTGCGACCAGGAGGGGACAGTGCGGCCAGCAGGGGGGTGCGGCCAGCTGGGGGGGGGAGGGCAGGAGGCGACA